CAATGTAACTCGATGTGTCCAGCCTCCTGACAATGTAACTCGATGTGATGTTGCCGTCCATAATACAGCAGCTATATTCATGCCCAATACCCTGCCATCCAGATTAAAAAACAAAACAAAACATCTCATACTGCTCTCTGTAAGCTTTGAGTTGGGGATATTTTAGTTATCCCAAGGCATGCTGTGGCTCTGTCAAGCTGTTCTTCTCAAACATAGGACAGACACCATTGATGTTGGAAGTCCTACCTCAGAAGGGATTACTTACAGTTTTCATCTGTCCAGAGAGGTATAGAAAATGTTATGATTGCCAGGCAGCGGTGGCACACACCTTTAATTCCAGCACTTGGGAGGCAGAGGCAGGCGGATTTCTGAGTTTGAGGCCAGCCTGGTCTACAGAGTGAGTTCCAGGACAGCCAGGGCTACACAGAGAAACCCTGTCTTGAAAAACCAAAAAAAAAAAAGTTATGATTATTTATAAATGGTTTTCACTGTAATTAATAACTCAATTCACTCTCTATGTTTAGTGACTTGTAAACTGAATGAAGAAAACCCCCTTGCCTTAAGAACTGCTAGGCAGGAGAGTTATCAGTTTAGAGAAATGGGGGAAAGTATCACGAGCTGCATGGCTTTGGGATTGACCTAACTGGCGTGAGGGGAATGGAGAAGTGGCAGACGCACATACAGAAGACCTGAGATGACCTGTGTGCTCAGATGGAGCTCGGGACACTTGCTATATGCAGTACTGTGAGGAGAAGCGTCAGCTAATCTCAGCAAGTAGTCTCTATAGGGATCAGTCTCAGGCTGTGCTCAAGGAGAAGGGAGCTATAGTTGATACTCTCTGAACACAATGTTACCATCTGTAGTACACCAGAGGCGGCTTCTGAGCCTGCCGGGAGGGTCTCACCATTCCAATGGGTCTGAGGCACTGGGGCCCTTGACTTATGAATGTGATGGCAACAAATTCTATATATCAGAACTTATGGGAAGAACTTATGGATGGTTCAGCAGTAAAGACATTTGCTGCATAAGTCTATGACCCAAGTTTATGGAACATACATAAAAGATACACTTTTTAAAATTGCAGAATGAAATTGAACTGATAAATTTTTTTTTTGGTTGTTTTGTTTTGTTTTTCGAGACAGGGTTTCTCTGTGTAGCCCTGGCTGTCCTGGAACTCACTCTGTAGACCAGGCTAGCTGCGAACTCTCGAACTCAGAAATCCATCTGCCTCTGCCTCCCAAGTGCTGGGATTAAAGGCGTGCGCCACCACCGCCCAGCATGAACTGATAATTTTTGATAAAAGTTTCTTATTAGTATGTATTAGGCACTATTAGGAAGTGTGGCCTTGTTGGAGGAAGCGTGTCACTGTGGGGGTGGCCTTTGAGATCTATGTTCAAGCGATGCCCAAGGTGGCAGACAGTTTCTCCTTGCTGCCTGTGGGTCAAGATGTAGACCTCTCAGCTCCTTCTCCAGCACCATGTCTGTCTGCATGCTGCCACGTATTTCATCACGATGATAATGAACTAAACCTCTGAAATTGTAAGCCAGCCTCAATTAAATGTTTTTCTCCATAGAGTTGCTGTGGTCATGGTAATCTCTTCACAGCAACAAAACCCAGACTAAAACTCTGAGCAAACAAGGAGACTGAAGCAGGAGTACAAAAACATCCTACAAAGGAAAGCCTATCAAGGTGGATTCAGCTGAATGCTACCAAACCTTTAAGGGTGCAGGGAAAAAAGATTTTTGCCAACTTAGAGGGAATAATATATTATCACAATTTTCCCTTTTTGTTCTGTTATTTCGAGATAACATATTCTTATAATTGTTGTCTTCTCCTCTACAGCCTGTGCTTTTAGTAGTTCAGGCAACAGTCCCCATCGTAAGATATCCACTCTCTGAAAGCATCAGGGTCTCCTGCTCACCTTTCTGTTTATAATTCCCCAAGAGTTTTCATTTAGATGTATATTGGGACTGTTTTCACATTTGGTAAATAGTTAAAAGTGAAAACCCAGGCAGTAGGTAAAACTCACCACCTGGAGCATGAGAACCTGAGTCAGGATCCTCAGCAACTGTGTGAAAAGCTGGGTCTATAGCCTAGAACTAGACAAGAGGATCCCGGGTGTTCGCCGGCCTTGCATGCAGTGCTCACAGAGGCCACAAGAGGGCATTGGATCTCCCTGGAACTGGAGTTAGACCCCTGTGAGCCACCCAACGTAGGTACTGGGAACCAAACCCAAGTCTTAACTGTTGAGCCACCTCTGTGTCCCTTTTTAAACTTCAGCTTTTTAAGTATTTACAATTCCAACTGGGTGCAGCGCGGCACGTCTTCAATCTCAGCACTAGGAGGCAGAGGCCGGCGAAGTTCTGTGAATTCGAGGCCAATCTGGTCTACATAGTGAGGTCCGGGACAGCTAGAGCTACATAGTAAGACTCTGTCTCAAAATAAATAAATAAAAAGAAAGAAAAAGAAAGCCCAAAAGAAAAAAGAAAAGAATAAGAAAGCCATAGTTTCTACTAAAAAGTTCAGTATCCACAGCCCCCGACCCATTTAAAAGGAATGTATTTAAAACTATGAACTATAAAACAAAGAATTGTGCAAAAGCTATAACCCTTATATTTGGTAAGTTTCTAAAATTAAAAGAAAAATTTAACAGAGGTATTGTATGGGTGTATACAGGTCCTCCAAGAAGCTGTAGGTTATTCAATGAGAATCCCAGTGCCGGGTGAGCTACCTCTGTCTGAGTTGTTGGTCAGGGAGTCCTCTGACATCTCGAAAACAATGTAAGCAATTACCACCACAGCTGCTGCACACTGGAGCTAGATGAGGAAGCCCTGTTGCTGAAGACAGCACGTGCTCTGGCTGTGACGTAGGCAAATCAAGTAGGAGCCCAGATGGAAGCCGCCTTCCTGCTCTGTCCCTTTCAAAGTACTGCGCATGGCTGCTGGAGAAGGAAGCTACTCTACTGGGCCGCTAGGCAAGGTGTGTTCCCTGCTGCAGGAAGAAGAGGAGGAAGAGGAAGAGAAGGAGGAGGAAGAGAAGGAGGAGGAGGAGGAGGAGGAAGAAAAGGAGGAGGAAGAGGAGGAGGAAGAGGAGGAGGAAGAGGAGGAGGAGTTATGATGATACATAACTGCTTTCTGATTGGATCTGAGGCTCTCCACAGGAAGGAATTCCTTTGTGGTACTGTAAATCTGATAAGAGCCATGACTGTGGAGATCATAAACTTCATTTTTATTATAGTTTTAAACTTTCTATGTTTAAGTGTTTCTCTTCTCTTGCTTTTATTAATATCCAATTAATAAAATTGAATTAATAAGTTATTACACTTAAATTGGTTTAGATTATTACATTTTTCCACCTTTTTTATACCATCTATATAATTATTTTACTTCTCTTACACATCCCAATCCACATCTGATTCTTTAGAGCTTCCAACACCTAAAATAAAATAGCAGAATTCAGATTATAAAAGTATAATTATTATCTTCTAAAGATTTATTTTTAGTTTTGTTTATGTTTTATAGGTGTCTCTGCTCCTGTGTATGCAGTACCTGAGGAGGCCAGAAGAGGGCACCTGGTAGGTGGTTGTGAGCTACCGAGCGTGAGTGTTGGGAACCAATCCCCCTAGTCTTCTGCTGGATGAACAAGTGCTCTTAACTGCTGAACCACCTCTTCCGCTCTGTAATTTACTATTTTAAAAACATTAAAGCTGCAAATTTACTTACATTGAAAAAATGGAGAGGAGTTACCTTTTTAAACCATCTGAAGTGACTCTGTCAGAGTAGTTTCTGCAAGATTAGTAGCATTGAAATTACCTGAGGAGGGGGAATATATCCAAGAATTTATTAGAAAAATAGACTCGCAGGTCCCTCTAAAGTCTCTTATGTAAGGATTTTTAGTTTTATCAAATTCCTCAGACAGCCTGTCAGCCCATCTGCTTATGAGACACTGCCATGCAATACTGGAATAAGTGTGACAACCCAGGCTGTTGGTCAAACTCAAACACAAGGACAGGCCTTCAGAGGCCAGCACGGGGGCTGCTAGGGTGAGATCTCAGTTCAGATCTCACCAGTCCAGGCTTTCAGATGAGACACTAAACATATTTCTTTTCCTTTAATTTCTCTGAAAAAAAAAAATCCCCATGCGTTATAAATTCCTACATTAAGACTTAGTGGATCCCAGGGAGAATTCTGAACACAACACTCTACCAAGCCCCACCCTGTTCTCTGTGCTTTTTAGAGGGAGTGGGGGTTGGATCTAGGGGTCTCATATATGCTAAGTAAGCAGCGCTCCATCACTGAGCCACACTCCCATCCCTGCCTGTCACGATTCTAAGGTGTCTCAGCAAGGTGACTTTATGGTCGTAAAAAAGCTGGTGTTAGGCAGCAGCAGGGAAATCCCGGCTAGAGGCAGGCCTTACAGAAGGCTGTGCCTGGGATCCTCCAGGAAGCTGAGGGTTCCAGGCAGTCCCCAGAGGGGAATCCCCGGCTTCCCATTCCTCACCTCCACGCCCTGAAGAGGCGCAGCAAGGAAGGAAAGTGGAAGCTGGAACTGAGGCTCCTTTGTCTGAGGCTAGAATATTTACTTGGCAGAGTCAGCTTCTCTCATTTCCTGTGTCACATGAGCACGTGCTAGCAGCTGCCCAATGAGAAACACCCTGGCCAGTCACAGCCTTGTGTTTCCATTTCGGTTGCTTTCATCCGGACAGAAGCAGTCACATGACAAGATCTTGAGATTGTTCTATCCCAAGGAAGTGGTGGCGGCAGCTACTGGGTATAAACAGGCCCCGTCTGTGGCTGTGGGGTAATATTTCTGTGTTACAATCTCGTACCTGACTGACTCCATTGCGAAAGTTTGCCCAAATTTCCTCTATTTTTTTTTTTTCCTGGACTCGAGATTGCTTTTCCTTTGCGCAGGAGAATGACTTCTAAGAGGGTCAGTTTTCTAAGCCACAGTCACAATCAAGATCTCTTTACTTGAGGCTCCACGCCTGGAGTTCCGTGTTTCTCTCAGAATATTCCTATCCCATATATTAAATAACAGCGTGCTGATCCCTGGACTCCAGGGAAGAGTGTGGCTCCTTCCAGCTTTTCTCGAAGCACTCAAACTTTAATTCCTGCCTTGCCTTGACCACTCTTAGGAATCAAGAGGAAACACTCCTGAAAAATACTAGGGAGACGTAATAGCAACTGCCCGTTCAACCCGAAAGGCAGCCGCGCACTCTGCAGTATGCTACTCAAGTTGGAACAGTAGCTGTAGCATGAGGGGAGCGCTGGGAACTGCCTCTCAAGGCTGAGGTGAGGGTTACATGAGACATGGAAGCTAGGCTACTGTAAGCACTCGGCTATTATAAACCGTGTTTAGAAACACATTTAGGTTAAGGGGTGAGGAGATGGCTTAGTGGCACTTGCCTTGCAAGTGTGCGAACATGAGTTCAGATCTCTAGAACCCACGGGAAAGTCGGAGGTGGAAGCATGCGTCTGTAATCTCATTGCTCCCTTGGAGAAAGGGGAGGCTGACATGGGAGAATCCCAGGAAGAAGGCGGGAAGCAGAGACCAACACCTGAGGTTGCCCTCTGACTATCATACATGTGCCTCCGCATACAGGCAAGCATGCACACACGTGCATACACACATACACATATCAAACACACAAATCAATATAAACAGCACAGAATACCACAATAACTGTCATTTTGCTATGCAGGTTACCTTACTTTAAAGCTGATTTTTCTTGCATTGTATTAAAAACAAAACAAAGATACCTTTTTAAGTTTAATTGTGGAAATCTCAACACAATAGTTTTCTCTACCTGAACTCACTGTCTGCAGAAGAAAATAAACAGAATATGGCTGATTTCAGACATTGCTTTCTTTCTTTCTTCCTTTCTTCCTTCCTTCCTTCCTTTCTTTCTTTCTTTCCTTCCTCCTCCTCCTCCTTTTCCTCCTCCTTCTCATCTTTGAGCAGAAGTAGGACTTTTAATCCAGGCATTCAGTTTAGTACTTGTCAATCACATTTTCTTTCCTAATTAAATTTACCTGGAGTTCATTTTAAGGAAAATAATTTGTTCACTCAAAAGTGGTTGCATATTTATACTGCAATTATGTTACAACCCCTGCCAATGAGGCCCTCCTCCGGAGACTCAGCAAAGAAAGACAAATGCCACCAAAGCCTCCAGATTTCAGAGCAATTAAGCCTGGCAGTGCAGGTGTGTGAAACACCTGCCTCCCTCTTGCCCCTGCCGGCTTGCCCAGGCCACCCCTCATCTGTTGATGGAAATAATTAACTTACCCTATTAGGAGAAAAGCCCAGGACTGCTAAAAGCAACAAGTTTCCTTTCTCTTCCTCAGATTAAGTAAAAAAACCTGCTTCATGGGTGGTCTACAAACAGGTCAGGGAGGAAAAGTTTTCTTTAAAAAAAGGCAGGAGGAGGCCTTGTCCCCTGCGAGGGAATGCACGGCCAGCTTAAGTTCAGAATTGTTCCCTTTGTGACACTGATTGCTCAGGGGCGTGAAAACCCACATTTTAAGGACATTTCTGTTAATAAACAAAGCATTTGAGAAGGATGTGATTTCCTTAGACCTGCCTTTTGTGAATGGTTGAAATTTTCCTTTAATCCCAATAGCAAGATTGGATGAGGATATTGTGGGGGAAATTTGAAAAAGCAACTGGGCTAGATTATAGCTGGAAATTGAGAAATTGTTTTTAAAAAAACTTTCAGGTGTCAGTCTGATGACTTTCAACCTTTCTGTAGCACACTAATTTTTCTAGGTGTCACTGAAGCCACCGCTGGTACTCCCCGGCAGAAGGGCAGGGAGGAGACTTAATCTTTGTCATTACTGGCACCAGCCCTCTCCACTCAAAGTACAAAGGTAGAAATCGTCACGATGTTTAATTGGAACGTGTGTTTTGAAAAATGTAAGGTTGGCACAGGCCGGAGACTGCTGAAGGTAGGGATCTCTCTCTCTCTCTCTCTGTCTCTGTCTCTGTCTCTCTCTGTCTCTGTCTCTCTGTCTCCCTCTCTCTCTCTCTCTCCATGCATGTGTGAGTGTGGTACATGTGACCCGTGACCCATGTAAGACAGAGGTTCTACTTCAGGTGTCTTCCTCTATTAGTCGCTACCTCATCTTTTGAGGCAGACTCTCCCTGAGGCCAGAGCTCAGCATTTAGACTACACTGGCTTCCCAGGCAGCCCCTGGCACTTGCTTGTCCACCTCCCCGGCACCACCAGCGTTGGGAAAGCAGATATATCATTTGTCCCAGCTTTTTCATGGGTGCTGGGGATCAGAACTCAAGGCTGTAGGCTGGGGCAGTGAACTGTCTCCACAGCCCAAACTTCCCTATTTTCTTTTATAAAGATAATTTAAGTCACTGGTCCAATTAGACTCTGAGCTTGAATAAAAGCTCTGTGACAATGTCCTCTGAAATAGAGAATGAGGAGGCCAACAAACTGACTATTGCATCCTGTCAGTTCTGACCAAAGACTTCCTTACAGTGCTAGATGGTGTAAAAGGCGTCTTTCCATTTGAGGTAAGGCAGATTTCTTAACACCTGTCCTAGAGATAAGGTCACTGAGTTATGCATAGAGGTGGTCACAGTGAGCAGTTCTGAGGATGGAGGAAGCCTCTCAGTGCATCAATGTATAAGAAAGGGTTACTTTGGATCTCTTCATATGTGCATGCATGAGCATGAGTGAGTGCACACACACACACATGCACACACACACGTGCACACACACATGCACACACAC